CTGCTGGGTACTCAGAGGAGCACAGGGACTGGCCTCCTGCTGGGACTCTGAGGAGCACAGGGACTGGCCTTCTGCTGGGACTCTGAGGAGCACAGGGACTGGACTCCTGCTGGGACTCTGAGGAGCACAGGGACTGGACTCCTGCTGGGACTCTGAAGAGCACAGGGACTGGACTCCTGTTAGTGCCCAGAGTCAGGACTAAACATGGGGAGGCTGCTTTTCAGATTAATGCTGCTTAAATCTGGAACAGTCTTCCTGAAGATGTGAGACAGGCCTCCTCTCTGACAATGTTTAAAACCAGGTTAAAGACAGTTCTGTTTAACTGTGCTACCAACTGAGGGATTTTATATTTTTATCTTTCTTTTTTAATGTTCTGTGATTATTTATGATTTTAATGCTTTCTTGTTTTGTTCAGCACTTTGAATTGCCTTGTGTATGAATTGTGCTATATAAATAAACTTGCCTTGCCTTGCCATAGAGTTTTCTTTATAAGAATGATGCAGATGCAGAATGTTCTGGTCTGGTATGTTTACAAAATCATACTTTTCTATGACTCTATTGGGACATAGTGACATATAATCAGTATAAATGAAAAGTCGGAGGTGAATCACTTTAAACTGTACCAATGTGTTACTTTTGGGTCAGTGACTAAATGTCCACAGCCGCTTCTGCAGAACGTTCACAGACTCTTGTTCTGTTCCATGTTTGTCCAGTGGAGGGCGCACTACTTAAGCACACATTTGTTCAGATGTTTTGTGGACGAAGTAGACGGACTTTTTTTTTTTAACATAATGTACAATCTATCATTAGAAATTGTTTATCGTTTTATCCCCAAACAGTAGCCATTAAATAGTCTTCTGTCCTGTTCAACCTTCTTTTCACAAAGCCTCCAACACGTGGTCTAAATGTAACTGTGTCCCCAAAGTTTAATACCATTTTCTTTCTTTTTTTTTTTTTTTAAAGGCATCTATTTTTCTTGAAATGGTCTTGAGCCATGGACATATTATAAATTAGCCCAACTGAGATTATCCTGTGTTTTTTTATAAACTACAGAGTACCAAAGAATTATTAGGTATACAAACATTTTTGGCTCATACATTTACTTTATTCTCGCTTTTATTAATATATATATATATATATATCTATAAACATACAGACTGTAAAGTCTAGCCTATGAGAGTGACCCAGGTCGTTTGTTGTGGTTACCATGGTTGTTGTGGTTACCATCCAATCCAATCCAATCCAATTTATTTATAACGCACTAATAAAAACAACACAGTTGACCAAAGTGCCGTACAAAAATAAAAATATAAAAAACAATCAAATATACACATATACAGTGGCATAAGAGGACGATTTGAACAGTAAAAGTCAACTTCCAAACTAGTTAAAAGCCAAAGAGAACAAATGCGTCTTAAGGCGTGATTTAAAAACAGGAAGGGAGTCAGCCTGTAATGCACAGAGGCAGCTCATTCCACAGTTTGGGACCAACCACAGAAAAAGCTCGGTCTCCTCTGAGTTTGTGGTGAGTCCGAGGAACCATAAGCAGTGATTGGTCGATCGTAGCGAACGTGTCGGAGAGTATGACACGAGCAGGTCGGACAGATAACTCGGAGCATGGTCGCTGTGGTTACCATGGTTGTTGTGGTTACCATGGTCGCTGTGGTTACCATGGTTGTTGTGGTTACCATGGTCGCTGTGGTTACCATGGTTGTTGTGGTTACCATGGTCGCTGTGGTTACCATGGTTGTTGTGGTTACCGCGGTTGCCGTGGTTACTACCGGGCAGCACGCTTAGCTCGGTGAGTTAGCCACTTTAGCTAACATCCGTCAAGAGAAACAACTTGAACATTCTTCCAAAGCTTTGTCTTTGTATGAACATGTTTCCGGAGGAGATGGCAGAGGCTGACACAGACCTGACCGTGTTCGAGGGCTCCTCCCCGGGGGACGTGTGCCGCGCACGGCAGCTGTGGAGCTCTCTGTCCCTGCTCCCTCCTCAGGAACCCCGCCTGGAGTCTGCGGACATCCTCCAGAGACTCCCGGTGTCCAGGCCCCAGCCACGGAGAGGCCACCGCGGAGCCACGGCCACGGCCACCGGCGACCCCCGGAGCCTGAAGGAGGAGAGGCGGGAGGCGCAGGAGGAGGAGAGGAGGAGGTACCAGGCCATGGCCGAGAACCGCAGGCAGGTGCTGGGGCTGCTGAGGAAGCAGCGGGAGCAGAGGATCCAGAGAGAAATGGTTTCTATCGACTTTAACCCGAGGCCAAAACAAGAGGAGAAAAGAATTAGTCGAAACGAAGATGGAAGTGACCATGACCGAGACCTGGTCCAGCAGCTGTCATGAACAATAACACATATAAACACATCCTGCTGTTAATGACAGACTTCTACAACTTCAAAACCTACAACTGAAGTTTTACAAAAAAATATGTAGTTTTCTGGAAGATTTATTAAAAGTTTGTTAAATCTAGCGTTTTTTGTTTTGTTAACTTTACTCGCTTTAAAAAAGTGCTATAACCAGTTAGACTGAGCGCAGGGACTGGCCTCCGGCTGGTCCCAGAGTCAGGACTGAACATTGGGAGATATTTCAGATTCATGCTAAAATCTGGAACAGTCTTCCTGATAATGTGAGACAAACAGTGTTCAAATTCAGATTAAAACAGTTGTTTAGCTGCTACAACTTTTTAATGTGATTATTTATTATTAATTATTGTTTTGTTACGCCCTATGCGTTGCCTCGTGTATGTTGTATGAACTGTGCTATACAAATAAGCTTGCCTTGCAGTCAACACTGTTCTGTGTGTGGTAGAGAGAGTATCAGGGGAGGCCGACAGAGAGAAACCCCCTGGTCCTGGTTCATTGTGATTGTGACGCATTAAAGAAATCAAACTGAGCTCAGTATTTGTCTCGTTTGTATCCAGTAAAAACATGTTTAATCAGAAAAGAATCATAACTGTCAATTTAATGCAAATAAAACACACACACTCTCATTTATATTTTAATTAAATACATTTTATTAGTCAATGATACAACTATACATTTACAATGTTTTAAAAAATATAAATTGTTAAATTAAAAGAGTAAATAAATTAAAAAGCAAATAAACAATTTAACAAAATTACAAAAGACGCTGATTCCACTGTTGCACAGGTTACGTCATGTGCAGTATCAGGCAGAAAACATGAAATAAAACGATCGATAACGTGCCATTTCTGCTTTAATTTTGCTTGTTTCGTTTCTGTCATGACATGAGGCAAGACATGGACAAAAGACCATCTCACAGTTTCTTACTGGGAGTATTCTGTGTCTTTCTGTCTTTATTTCTCATGTCGTTTTTCAGACACTCGTTTGTGCTGCTGTGATTCACAACGCCACCACTAGATGGCGCCATGTCCCTGTAAAAGTATTTACAGAGGACTAGCCAGAAGTTGCTATGACACTGAAACTATTCTGTCTTTCAACACTGACTGGATTCAACAATAATTATAGTATTGCTGATAATTCAAATACGTAATATTTGCACATGCCCAAGATAAAAAAAACCATGAGATTGAGATGCAAGAACACGGCCATAAATGTCAGACATCAAAACTCAAATTATTTAAATTATAATTATGGTTTGGTCAATTTCATGGTAATTTTGTCAAATTTAAAACGGAAACATCTCTTTATAATATAATATAATATCTAAAATATCAGCTGCAAGACTCCAGGTTGTCAACACGAATATGATGGACCTAGGCTAAAAAAAGACCCATCTGGTATCTCTCTGGTCTCTTTCTCTCTCTCTGGTCTCTTTCTCTCTCTCTGGTCTCTCTCTCTCTCTCTGGTCTCTTTCTCTCTCTCTGGTCTCTCTCTCTCTCTCTCTGGTCTCTAGTCTTGCTCTGGTCTCTATGTCTCTAGTCTTGCTCTGGTCTCTATCTGGTCTCCATCTCTCTCAACTCTGGTCTCGCCTCTTGCTCACTCTAGTCTCTCTCTGATCTCTTGTGCTCTGGTCTCTCTCCCTGGAGTGGTCGGTGTGGCTGCGGGGGTCGGACTCTTGGGCCTGGTGGGGGCCTGGGGCCTCGGTTTCGTGTCTCCTCTGGGTCCTGTGTCGTCCCCTGTGGCTACGGGCGGCTCTCTGCTCCTGGTGCAGACGGCTCCTTGGATGACGCTTTTTCAGCTGGTTGCATCTGAACCCTGCCAAGTCTCTCATCGTGGTTTGTTCATGAGCGCGTGTGTGTGTTTGTCTGTGGTCTGGGGGAGGGGTCTTGGGTCGGCGGGATTGTTTTTAACCAAACTGTAAAGCACTTTGTGTTGCATCTTTTGTATGAAAAGCGCTTTATAAATAAAATATGATTGATTGATGGTGTCTCTCTCTCTACTCACTCTAGTCTCTCTCTCTGGCTCCATCCGTTTCATCAAGTCTTCAGGTTGAGGAAATGGACGCAGCCTTGAGCTTAGTTGGAAAACAGTTTTACGGTCGAGGTCTCGTTGGAAGCGACAGAATCAGAGTAAAACCCAGGAGTCGTAGCTGAACTTTCCCAGAATGCATCACGCTCTTTTATCGCGCCCAAACGAATCCACAAACTCCTGCGTCCTTTGTCGGCACTGGTCCCAGCTGTACAGAGGAGTGTATTTGAAATGCCTGAAGGCTTTGTCCGTGCCCACCGTGAAGGAGGTCGACGCCACCGCCAGCGTGTAGCGGTTCAGCAGCGGCGTGTAGTTGTAGACCGGGCTCAGGATCCAGCGCAGGAGGTCGTTGATGAAGGCCATGAGGAAGAGGAGGACCAGAGGGACTCGCACGCGCCGGAAGTTGGAGGCGGCGAAGAACTGCATGTTGAAGTCCTCGTAGCTTTTGTACGGAGAGTCGTCGTAGCAGAAGAACGCCTCACCGGCCACGCTCTGCGGCGCCTCCCGGAGAGCGCGGGCCGCCAACACGTGCATCCACGCCACGTTACCTGCAGAACAAGCAACAGGAATACAATGGTTTAAAAGAGGATTATGTCAGATTTTCATTTCAAGTTGTCATTAAAGGGCCCTAATCTGTCGTCATTAAAGGGCCCTAATCTGTCCTAATTAAAGGGCCCTAATCTGTCATCATTAAAGGGCCCTAATCTGTCATAATAATAAACTGCTCTTTTCCAATCCTTCTTTAATTTCTAAATTACTTTTCCAGTCCCTAAACCTTATTATTGTTTTCATTTCGATATCCCGCCCTCCACCGTTTCACCAATCAGAAAGTCTGTGATCCGGGCGCCAGAACTCACCGCATGGAGCTAATCTCACTGGTAAAGTACCATGTGGAGCTAATCTCACTGGTAAAGTACCATGTGGAGCTAATCTCACTGGTAAAGTACCATGTGGCGCAGAACTAAAAAAGGTCTCGTTATGATTCTCAAATCATTAACGACAAAACAAGGAATAAAACCAAGATTTCTATCTTTGTGAAAAAGGTGTTGGTTATAGATTTGTTGTTGACTAAACTCTTGTCTATTCAGCTGTTATGGTCCCAGCTGGATTCGTCTGCATATCTGGCAACCTGAGTCAGGGAGAGTGGGAGAGGCTGCAGTACCACTGTTGGCCACACGTTTACACACTGCTGCTTTAACCATATCATATAATGAGAATCATTCAAAAACAAAAGATACATGTTTCATGGTTTTATTTCCTGCACTGCAAAAAGTGAATAATTGCTTGAGTCAAGTGTTTTTTATCTTGTCTCAAAACTAGAATCTCCGATGGGACAAAGACATTTAGTCTTATTTCAAGAACTGTTACTTGATTTTCTCATTCCAAGGGAGACATTCATTCCTTTTCTACCCTTTTCTTAGTCCATTTCTGGGTCGGGGAGGTGGAAAACTGTAGCCCTGCTCATAGCAGCAGTCTCTGTGACACGTGAGGCTGAGTGTGTTTCCCGATGCACTGTATATTTGAAAAAGATCATTTTACTTTGTCCCGTTGGCAAAGATACATTTGAGTGTGTTTTGTAGTTTGTTAGCCCTGTGTCCTCCCTGATGTAACTTCCTGTTGTGTGGTTATGTCCGGTCCACATGTGTTTCACTTGTGTCTCCTTCTTGTATTTGAACAATACACTGTAAATATTAACGGACGTAGTCACGCCTATCTCCGCCGTTCTAACTAATGTGCCACAACTTCCTCTATGTGCAGTTTCAAAATGGCCGCGGGGGCTGGAAAATGTGAAAAAACGCATCTGTGCATGCGTCAGCTGCCCGAGCTCTATTCATTTAAACAAGAAACTTCTAAAGTCCACAGCGACTAAACTAGACTGGTCCAGAACACTCAGCATTGACACACATGTGGAACGGAGCTTTAGGCCAAGAGACACTTTTGGTCCATCCTGTAAAGACGTTTTCCAGAGGTAAGAAGATGCTATATGTTAGCATTGGCTAATTCTTATTCTGGGTCCACCCCCACAGGCCCGGGGCGGTACTGCAGCATGTCAGCGCACGTCATTTTGGACACTTTTGAGCCGGGACCCGCCCCCACTGGTTTAAACCCTGTGTTTTCCTCCACTTCCTGTTCCGTCATTTTCATTCCATGTCTTACTTCTTGTTGTTGGCCCCTTGTTTTTGTGTTGTTTGCTCTGGATTTTGTTTTGTATTACAGTTTTTAACATTGTATTTTGTAGTTGTCGTGCAGTTCGGGCTGATTTAATTTAAGCTGAGTGTATAATATCATGGCAATGGCATTAGAACTAGAGCCGTTGGTCCATCAGGGGCAGATGCACTTCCCAATGGGCTTCATTGAGAGGGAGAGTGTCTAATGTCATCTATAAACAGCAGCGGTCTGCAACACTTTACAATTGAAGAGCTACTTTCATGCAACAAAAGAGGCAGAGAGCAACTTCTTTTTACAGTCGTAATAAAACATCTATGTAATAATTAGGACAAGAGAACACACAATTATATCGTAATACTGTAAAACCCTGTATTATACTTTTAAGATCGGTAATGAATCAATATACATCTAAATCTTTTGTTAAATTCTAAATCCTTTGGGGAGCTATCTGAAAGGGGCTGGCGAGCTACTGGTAGCTCCCGAGCCACAGGTTGGAGGCCCCTGGTATAGTCTGTGGTTATGGTGAATCCTCATATGTATGATGCAAAATTCTGTGGTTTAGGACCGTCTGTGATCCTGGTGTTTATAATCAGACAACTTCATTCTCAGGGAAACTGCAGCTCGTCTTAGCAACCGTCTTAGCAACCGTCTTAGCAACCGTCTTAGCAACCGTCTTAGCAACAGTCTTAGCAACAGTCTTAGCAACAGTCTTAGCAACAGTCTTAGCAACAGTCTTAGCAACAGTCTTAGCAACAGTCTTAGCAACAGTCTTAGCAACAGTCTTAGCAACAGTCTTAGCAACAGTCTTAGCAACAGTCTTAGCAACAGTCTTAGCAACAGCCTTAGCAACAGCCTTAGCAACAGTCTTAGCAACAGTCTTAGCAACAGTCTTAGCAACAGTCTTAGCAACAGTCTTAGCAACACGTCTGCCCTTGCTACGATGCGAAGCTAACCCCTTTTAAAATACAAAAAGGCTCATCTACTGAAATTGGCTCCTGCTAGCTTATGTGGAAATCTGTTTCTTCTGCATTCGGTGAACTCTGTTAGCTGTGGGCGGTCGTTAGCACAAACTGTCTATGGTTCTACTCAAACTAAAATACAGTATGTTTGTTCAAAAGGTAAAGGTGCTGAACCCTGTCCCCTCAGCACCAGGAAGGTCTTCAGCTGATGTTTACTATGGTTTACTATTGTTGATTAGACACGTTTGTAATTCATGGACTTATGTGTTTCTGCTGCTGGACACAGTATCTATCTCTATCTAGCGAGACTCTGGGGTGGATTTTTATGAGTGTATCTTTTCTGTTGTGTTTGGCGAAATGAAATATTCTACTTTCACCTGTATATAAGCAGCACAACCAACATTTAAAAAAAAAAGCAAATTCTTGTCCACATTTAGGCCTCACTTAACAATCTTTATTGATCTCACTATGGATACATTTACAAAGCCACAGGTTTGTATTGTAGCAGAGAGATGACTGTGTTAAAAGTACATACCGGTTTAACTGTTAGCTTCCATGACTCACTCACCCTCATCTGTTGTGACAATAAACCAGTGTCCTACAGCTACAACTGGATGAGTCAAAACAATAAGTCCATAAACTCTGACCTCAGCAGGATTACATATTAGCCACATCGCTGTATAAGCCGCAGGGTTCAAGAAGCTAGAAAACAGTTTTTAAAATGTTATCTTAACAGAAGCCACACACAACACAGAAAATAGTTTGTCATTGGGCAGTTTATTTTCCTCTTTTTTGCATGAGCAGTTTGCAGATTCCTTTTCCCAACCTCCGTTATGTGAATCTGGCATTACCTCAGACCTAACCAATGTTCCACAAACCACCAGACCAGGCATGTCTCTCCTCTGCTTAAAACTGCTAAGAACAATAGTTATTTTACCCCCAACAACTGCTATGATCATAACACACAACACAAAAACACACGTGTGGTATATTTGCAGTAATAATTTGTGTTTATGTTGCTAGAAAACATTAGAACATAAGAGCACGTTGGCAGAGAGACAGACGGATTGATTCTAGGCGGACCCCAATTTGCATCGACTTTTCCACTGGAGTTCCAAACACTGGCATTAGTCACGGCGGCTCTGACAGGGACACGGCCCGATCCCTGTCATTAAATGGTGAGTTTATAGTAAATAAATATTTTGTTGCTTTGGAGACTCCAGTGTAGCTGCCAGCGTTAGCATGAGTCAGGTAATACAACACTACCGAGGGAACACCAGTTATAAATAGCTTCTTGTCACGACCAGTGGAGGCAAGTCCTGGCTCAAAAAGATCCATGAGCACGTGCACTGAGAAGCTGCAATACCACTCTGGGCCTGTGGGGGTGTACCCGGAAACAGAATTATCCAATGCCTTTGTATGGCGTCTTCTTTCCGCGTCTTTACAGGATGGTTCAAAAGTGGCTCTTGGTCCAAAAGTGGTTCTTGGTCCAAAAGTGGCTCTTGGTCCAAAAGTGGTTCTTGGTCCAAAAGTGGTTCTTGGTCCACCTTCCTCCTTCCTCCTCCGTCGAGCAAAGACGTGTCTTAGTCCGCTCCTGCTTCTGAACGGCTTGCTATCTCCTGTTTTTGTCTTTTTTCCTGGAGCTTTGCCACAGACAACTCTAACAGAATGGAAATGATTAATTGGTCCCTCAACGCAATTGATTCTATCTTTTCAACTCGTAAGCGTGGGTCTGGAGAGCCCGTGTGTCCGGACGGGACTTCACCAGCGGGGTATACACTTGACAGCTGGAACAAGTGGCAGCCCCTCTGTCTGTCGACCCTGTCCATTGAAGATTCGGAAGACGTATATATCTTTGGCATTTTGGTGGCGGGAATCCTCCTGTTTGGGTTTGGAGCGATCCTCTTCTACCACAAATTCGGAGGCATGGCAGTTCGCAAGATTCACGACCTGCTGGCCGATAAAATTGATGGGATGTACAAGGAGCTTAGCCGTGTCGTGGTTGAGAGTGCCGTGTCTGGACAACGGAGAGTGGTGTTGGTGGATCAGTTGATCAAAGACCTCGCAGCTCGTTCACTTGATGGACATAAGACCTTGGAATTGAGATTGAATGACATTGTTTGTCAGGCTTGATCTCTCTGACCCGGCTTGGATTTGCCCCTGTGTACGGAGGTCTGAGGGCACCGGAATTCGGTTTAATTGGAATTAATAGAATATCTGCCTGATTTTGACTGCGACATTGCAGGCGATGTGTTTTTCTCCTCCTGTGGCTTCTCTCTCCACTCTTATCTCACATTCCTCAGCCAAGGCCATAAACAAGGTCCCACAATCTACAACAACTCACACTATTTCAGTCTTCAGCAAGGATCCCCCACCCCCGCCTCCCTCTACCTATCCATCTTGCTCCCTCCCTCCCCTCCATTCCTTATTGTTTTCCTACTCACCCCCTCCCTGATCCCGCCCCCCTCTGACAGCTACATTGGGCCGGCCGAAGAGGTGCTCTTCCCGAGAAAAAAATCCGTGGTTTATAAAAAGCACAATGTGTCTATCCAATTGTCTGTGAACTGTATGTTATTGCTCTCTGCTGTTTCTTGCTGCACACAGCGCCGCAAATGGCGAAGTGGCACGCTCTCTGCCAAAACAATTTCCAAGTGATAACTTTGTTACTCACGTGGCAATAAAAATGATTCTGATTCTGATTCTGATTCTGAAAAGTGGTTCTTGGTCCAAAAGTGGTTCTTGGTCCAAAAGTGGTTCTTGGTCCAAAAGTGGTTCTTGGTCCAAAAGTGGTTCTTGGTCCAAAAGTGGTTCTTGGTCCAAAAGTGGTTCTTGGTCCTCTTGGTCCCAAATGCAGTCTGAGGGGAGTATATATTTTTTGGACCAGTCTAGTTTAGTCGCTGTGGACTTTTGAATGCACTTGTTAAATGAACGGGGCTAATGCAGCTAACTCATAAAATTTGTTTTTTCACCATTTTGAAAAAGCCACAGAAGGAAAAAGTGATGTCACATTAGTTTGAACGGTCAAGATCAGCGTCAGTCTTTACAGTCTATGATCACACACATCTGTGCATCAAGGCTGTGTATCTGTTTTGACACACACACACACACACACGTGTGTATCTGTTTTGACAGCTGCACAACGGCCTCATTTGTCCAACTTATTCACACCTGAGCACATTCCTGCTCAGTCAGATCAGACTCTGATGGATGGATTCTGAAGTCATTCTAACGACAGGTCTCTTCACGTTTCACTTCTCGTCTGTTCCTCTGCAGCTCCAGAGCGTGGACTTGATCCAGGTTTAAGTCAGTCATATTTATTTATATAGAGCCTTTCTCAGACCAGAGTCAAAGCGGTTTATAATTGTGTGCATTTGTCTCTGAGTCCACACAGAGATGGGAGCGGCCAGAACAGGACGCACAGACCTATTGGACTTGTTTTATTGGTAGGGGAAACCGGAGTCCTGGGTCTACAGCCTCAGTCCTGGGTCTACAGCCTCAGTCCTGGGTCTACAGCCTCAGTCCTGGGTCTACAGCCTCAGTCCTGGGTCTACAGCCTCAGTCCTGGGTCTACAGCCTCAGTCCTGGGTCTACAGCCTCAGTCCTGGGTCTACAGCCTCAGTCCTGGGTCTACAGCCTCAGTCCTGGGTCTACAGCCTGTTGTGGGTTGCGTTGCCTTGTGTAGGTAAAGCTCTCTACAAATATGAATGAATGCTTTTATTTCGAGCCGTGGCAAACAAGAACAAAGAGCAACAACAGAATATAAAAGAAACAATACATGATAAAATACAATTATACCCTGTTTATTATTCTACTTTAATCTCACTTTAATGATGTGAATTAAATAATAAATACAAGTTGACTGGTTGATAGTGTGAATGTTATTTGCTCACCTGCATAGACCCGCCCATGCTCCACCTGGTCCGGGATGCCCCCCACGTGGACCCCCCCCCTCCTCACACACTCCTCCCAGAACTCCCTCATGAGTTGGTGGCCCTCGCCGTAGATCCCTGTGGGTCTGAGGGAGCAGCTGCACAGCGTCTGTCCGCCCTGCACCTGCAAAAACACACACACCAGCTTTAATAACACGCCAACATCAGAGGCAGGTTTATTTGCAGTCTGGTCTTATCCAGTCGACGCTCCTGCATTAACGTGTTGTAGTTAGTTGTGGGTGACGTCAAGAGTTTGCGTCGAACGGGCAGGTTGTAGTTTGGTGAAGAATACGATAGTAAAGTATTCTGGGCTGGTTCTATCAAGAAACTGAAGCCGGAACAAGAGGAATGTTTAACAAATGTAAACTCTGGAAAGATTGAGGCGCTACTCCCCACGGGCTCCGTTAGCGCCAAAGGAGATGGCCTAAAGCTAGGCTATATGCTAAAGCTAGGCTAAATGCTAACGACTCATTCGAGCTCATTACATACGTCACGGTAAACTCAGATCAAAAGGAGTTAACCCCTCCCACCTGTTAACGGAACTCAGAAAGGCCCTGTTCCGACCGGGATTTGGACCCAGGACCTTCTAGCTAGTGCTAACCACCGTGTCACCCAACTGCATGAATCTGAAACGCTGCCTCCCCATGTTTAGTCCTGACTCTGGGACCAGCAGGAGGCCAGTCCCTGTGCTCCTCAGAGTCCCAGCAGGAGGCCAGTCCCTGTGCTCCTCAGAGTCCCAGCAGGAGGCCAGTCCCTGTGCTCCTCAGAGTCCCAGCAGGAGGCCAGTCCCTGTGCTCCTCAGAGTCCCAGCAGGAGGCCAGTCCCTGTGCTCCTCAGAGTCCCAGCAGGAGGCCAGTCCCTGTGCTCCTCAGAGTCCCAGCAGGAGTCCAGTCCCTGTGCTCCTCAGAGTCCCAGCAGGAGGCCTCTGAGCCGCAGGAAGCAGAACCTTTACCACAAACAGAACCAGGAAATGAACCAAAGCCTCGGATAAAGCCAGACTCACAGATGTTTTTGTTTCATTAATGCAGAAAGTCTTGTTCTAGCAACACTGAGAGATTTATTATATTTCTGATCTTAGCCAATGAACGAGGACTGAAATGTGTGCGGTGAAAACTGGAGACAGACTCAGACGGTTTTGGGTTTTGAGAGAGAGAAGGTCGTGACTGTTCTTTCAAAGTTAGGTACTCCAGCTTTAGGCAAGGAGAGTTTATCTGTATAGCACATTTCATACACAATGGGTAGAGTAGAGTATAGTAGGGTACAGTACAGTAGAGTAGAGTAGGGTACAGTAGAGTAGAGTACAGTAGAGTAGAGTAGGGTACAGTAGAGTAGGGTACAGTAGAGTAGAGTAAAGTAGAGTACAGTAGAGTAGAGTACAGTACAGTAGAATAGAGTAGAGTACAGTAGAGTAGAGTACAGTAGAGTAGAGTAAGGTACAGTAGAGTAGAGTAGAGTAGGGTACAGTAGAGTAGAGTAAGGTACAGTAGGGTACAGTAGAGTAGAGTAGGGTACAGTAGAGTAGGGTACAGTAGAGTAGAGTAGGGTACAGTAGAGTAGAGTACAGTAGAGTAGAGTACAGTAGAGTAGAGTAGGGTACAGTAGAGTAGAGTAGGGTACAGTAGAGTGGAGTAAAGTAGAGTACAGTAGAGTAGAGTACAGTACAGTAGAATAGAGTAGAGTACAGTAGAGTAGAGTACAGTAGAGTAGAGTAAGGTACAGTAGAGTAAGGTACAGTAGGGTACAGTAGAGTAGAGTAGGGTACAGTAGAGTAGAGTAGGGTACAGTAGAGTAGAGTAGGGTACAGTAGAGTAGAGTAGGGTACAGTAGAGTAGAGTACAGTAGAGTAGAGTAGGGTACAGTAGAGTAGAGTAGGGTACAGTAGAGTAGAGTACAGTAGAGTAAAGTAGGGTACAGTAGAGTAGAGTAGAGTAGGGTATAGTAGAGTAGAGTACAGTAGAGTAGAGTAGAGTAGGGTACAGTAGAGTAGAGTACAGTAGAGTAGAGTAGGGTACAGTAGAGTAGAGTAGGGTACAGTAGAGTAGAGTAGGGTACAGTAGAGTAGAGTAGGGTACAGTAGAGTAGAGTAGGGTACAGTAGAGTAGAGTAGAGTAGGGTACAGTAGAGTAGAGTAGGGTACAGTAGAGTAGAGTAGGGTACAGTAGAGTAGAGTAGGGTACAGTAGAGTAGAGTAGAGTAGGGTACAGTAGAGTAGAGTAGGGTACAGTAGAGTAGAGTAGAGTAGAGAGTAGAGTAGAGTACAGTAGAGTAGAGTAGAGTAGGGTACAGTAGAGTAGGGTACAGTAGAGTAGAGTACAGTAGAGTAGAGTAGGGTACAGTAGAGTAGAGTAGGGTACAGTAGAGTAGAGTAGGGACGGGTAGAATAAGAAAGGGAACATGTTCCAAGTTGGAAACACAAATATAGAACTTTTTTTTTTTTTTTTTTTTTTAAATTTAGTTTTTTATTAAATTCACTGAAACTGATTTATTTCTAACTTGAACAGATTTTTGGCCATTCAGAGATTTTGTTTCCACAGGTTTTTGTGTGGTTTACTCGTTCATGTGAGACTCAGTGGCTCCGAGGTCTGGTCTCTGGATCAGGACCGGAGCAAATCCAGGAAAAACTGAGACTCAGCGCTGGAAACTAAACTAAATCCTGATCTGATCCAAGACCAACTCTGGGTCCAATAAGACCAGCAAGAGGTCTGGTCTCATCCAGGACTAAACCAGGACTAAACCAGGACTAAACCAGGACCAAACCAGGACCAAACCAGGACTAAACCAGGACTAAACCAGGACTAAACCAGGACTAAACCAGGACTAAACCAGGACCAAACCAGGACCAAACCAGGACCAAACCAGGACCAAACCAGGACCAAACCAGGACCGAACCAGGACTAAACCAGGACTAAACCAGGACCAAACCAGGACCAAACCAGGACCAAACCAGGACTAAACCAGGACCAAACCAGGACCAAACCAGGACCAAACCAGGACCAAACCAGGACCAAACCAGGACCAAACCAGGACCAAACCAGGACCAAACCAGGACCAAACCAGGACCAAACCAGGACCAAACCAGGACCAAACCAGGACCAAACCAGGACCAAACCAGGACCAAACCAGGACCAAACCAGGACCAAACCAGGACCAAACCAGGACCAAACCAGGACCAAACCAGGACCAAACCAGGACCAAACCAGGACTAAACCAGGACCAAACCAGGACCAAACCAGGACCAAACCAGGACCAAACCAGGACCAAACCAGGACCAAACCAGGACCAAACCAGGACCAAACCAGGACCAAACCAGGACCAAACCAGGACCAAACCAGGACCAAACCAGGACCAAACCAGGACCAAACCAGGACCAAACCAGGACCAAACCAGGACCAAACCAGGACCAAACCAGGACCAAACCAGGACCAAACCAGGACTAAACCAGGACTAAACCAGGACCAAACCAGGACCAAAGCAGGACCAAACCAGGACCAAACCAGGACCAAACCAGGACCAAAGCAGGACCAAACCAGGACTAAACCAGGACTAAACCAGGACCAAACCAGGACCAAACCAGGACCAAACCAGGACCAAACCAGGACCAAACCAGGACCAAACCAGGACCAAACCAGGACTAAACCAGGACTAAACCAGGACCAAACCAGGACCAAACCAGGACTAAACCAGGACTAAACCAGGACCAAAGCTGCCTGCCCTGCTCAGCTGCAGGTGGAGAATGATCCGCTGCTTTTCACTCATGTCTCTCTGTTACGTCTTTTTCAGACAGAAAAGTGACTCACAGGGATTTTTCTGACACGTTTTTAAACAATAGAATGTCGTTCACATTATTCTCTGTCGCGAAACACAATGGATTATTCTAAACCACACAAACGCTTTGAGGGGGTTTTCTAATCTAATAACAAATAAACATTTACAGTGACATCATCCAGACTGAGCTCATCCTGATCCACACACATTAAAGCTCAGGACCTAAAGTTCAACAAAAACAGTCTCTGTAAATGTAGGAAGTGTGTTTTTCATTTGTCCCTGTGCTCACTAAGTACTTCAGACACATGTGTTTTTGTCTTAAGTAAATTCACGTGGAGCCAGTGTTTATAAGGAAGTAACCAGGAAGTACCATCACATTAGTCCTGACTAGAACCAGGAAGTACCATCACATTAGTCCTGACTAGAACCAGGAAGTACCATCACATTAGTCCAGACTAGAACCAGGAAGTACCATCACATTAGTCCTGACTAGAACCAGGAAGTACCATCACATTAGTCCTGACTAGAACCAGGAAGTACCATCACATTAGTCCTGACCAGAACCAGGAAGTACCATCACATTAGTCCAGACTAGAACCAGGAAGTACCATCACATTAGTCCAGACTAGAACCAGGAAGTACCATCACATTAGTCCTGACTAGAACCAGGAAGTACCATCACATTAGTCCTGACTAGAACCAGGAAGTACCATCACATTAGTCCTGACCAGAACCAGGAAGTACCATCACATTAGTCCTGACTAGAACCAGGAAGTACCATCACATTAGTCCAGACTAGAACCAGGAAGTACCATCACATTAGTCCTGACTAGAACCAGGAAGTACCATCACATTAGTCCTGACCAGAACCAGGAAGTACCATCACATTAGTCCTGACCAGAACCAGGAAGTACCATCACATTAGTCCCGGTCTCAGGTCTCTGTGGTTCAGAGACTTTAAACAGCTCTGTTTGTTACAAGTCTCTCCATGGTCTCAAAGTCCATCTGTGACATGTTAGAGACAGGAGCACAGGGACTAAAACCTGCAGCTAAAATCTGGAACAGTCTTCCTTAAAAAGTGAGACAGACTTTCTCTGACAATGTTCAAATCCAGGTTAAAACCGTTCAGTTTATTTTATCTTTACTTTAATCAACGAGCTGTGACTTTCTATGATTTTATGCCTTATATGGTTATTTCTTTCTTGTTTTGTTCAGCACTTTGCCGTGTGCATAATCTGTGCTATACAAATAAACTTGAGGTAGTTAGGGTTAGGGTTAGCATAACATAGCAGTAGAATCTATTTCATTAAAAACGTTCCGGTGAGACAGCATTTTCCAAAATCTACTTTTCACAGATTTCTACATATAGCTGCTTTCCTTCTCATTTTGGTTCAAAGGGGAAAAAAATCCGCTGATCACCAACTTGATCTTTGGTCTGAGTGGAGCCTGTAAAATCATAAACTCCTTCAGACTTTGATATTGAGTTTGAGGAAAAGAGGAATATTGCTTTTCTGTGTCGTCTCTTTGTTGGGATTAGGATTAGAGCCGGAGGAAATACCAAGATCCTGAGACTCCTTTGATGTGGCCACGATTCTGCCGACGTCCAAACTTCAAAGTATTAAATATAAAATAACGTTATGTGCCGCGGGAGTCGGGGTCTCACTGCAGCATGTTTATCTGTATAGCACAGTTCATACACAAAGCAACTCAAAATGCTCAAGAAAATAACATAGAAACAGTCACTCTAGGCATTCAAATCCTAATCTCCTCAGAGTCCCAGCAGGAGTCCAGTCCCTGTGCTCCTCAGAGTCCCAGCAGGAGTCCAGTCCCTGTGCTCCTCAGAGTCTCAGCAGGAGTCCAGTCCCTGTGCTCCTCAGAGTCCCAGCAGGAGGCCAGTCCCTGTGCTCCTCAGAGTCCCAGCAGGAGGCCAGTCCCTGTGCTCCTCAGAGTCCCAGCAGGAGACCAGTCCCTGTGCTCCTCAGAGTCCCAGCAGGAGGCCAGTCCCTGTGCTCCTCAGAGTCCCAGCAGGAGACCAGTCCCTGTGCTCCTCAGAGTCCCAGCAGGAGGCCAGTCCCTGTGCTCCTCAGAGTCCCAGCAGGAGGCCAGTCCCTGTGCTCCTCAGAGTCCCACCAGGAGGCCAGTCCCTGTGCTCCTCAGAGTCCCAGCAGGAGTCCAGTCCCTGTGCTCCTCAGAGTCCACAGCAGGAGGCCAGTCCCTGTGCTCCTCAGAGTCCCAGCAGGAAGCCAGTCCCTGTGCTCCTCAGAGTCCCAGCAGGAGGCCGGTCCCTGTGCTCCTCAGAGTCCCAGCAGGAGGCCGGTCCCTGTGCTCCTCAGAGTCCCAGCAGGAGGCCAGTCCCTGTGCTCCTCAGAGTCCCAGCAGGAGGCAAGTCCCTGTGCTCCTCAGAGTCCCAGCAGGAGGCAAGTCCCTGTGCTCCTCAGAGTCCCAGCAGGAGGCCAGTCCCTGTGCTCCTCAGAGTCCCAGCAGGAGGCCAGTCCCTGTGCTCCTCAGAGTCCCAGCAGGAGGCAAGTCCCTGTGCTCCTCAGAGTCCCAGCAGGAGGCCAGTCCCTGTGCTCCTCAGAGTCCCAGCAGGAGGCCAGTCCCTGTGCTCCTCAGAGTCCCAGCAGGAGGCAAGTCCCTGTGCTCCTCAGAGTCCCAGCAGGAGGCCAGTCCCTGTGCTCCTCAGAGTCCCAGCAGGAGGCCAGTCCCTGTGCTCCTCAGAGTCCCAGCAGGAGGCCAGTCCCTGTGCTCCTCAGAGTCCCAGCAGGAGGCCAGTCCCTGTGCTCCTCAGAGTCCCAGCAGGAGGCCAGTCCCTGTGCTCCTCAGAGTCCCAGCAGGAGGCCAGTCCCTGTGCTCCTCAGAGTCCCAGCAGGAGGCAAGTCCCTGTGCTCCTCAGAGTCCCAGCAGGAGGCCAGTCCCTGTGCCCCTCAGAGTCCCAGCAGGAGGCCAGTCCCTGTGCTCCTCAGAGTCCCAGCAGGAGGCCAGTCCCTGTGCTCCTCAGAGTCCCAGCAGGAGGCCAGTCCCTGGGAGCTGCTTCAGTCCTGCACAACACCTGTCCTCGTTCTACAACCCGAGTCCTGCACTGCGTTCTCTCCCTATGGTCCAATACCATGTGTTCTCTCCCTATGGTCCAATACCATGTGTTCTCTCCCTATGGTCCAATACCATGTGGTCTCTCCCTATGGCCCAATACCATGTTTTCTATTGTTAGGGATTTTGACAGAAGTTTAAATGAATTAAATGAAATTATGCTCCGATCATGAAGACCATAAAACAACATGGATAGAATGAAAGTAAATAGTCTTATACATTCTAATAACCAGAAACAACGCTTAATATTTCTTCTTCTTCTTCTTGAAACTCGTCCAAAAAAGTCAAAACAAGATGAATTATTCTGAATTTGTTGCGACATGAAAATGATCTCCTGAACCTTCTGCAGCTTCACATTTCTCTGTGTCTGAATCCGAGGGTCTGTGGTTGGACTTTTACGGTTCGGTCTCACTTCTGTCGTGCCCATGAGCAGCACACATCGGGGAAGTCTCAAACCAAATCTATATTTACTTTTCTAACTCACCGACACCTGGAGCCAAAGCACATTCCTGGTTCCTGACTTCCTTTTTCTCACGAAGGCAATAAACATATTTCTGATTCTGATCACAACCGCCGTCGTCTCCAGGGACTTCACAACAGATCAGAGAATCAAAAAGAAATGCGTCGGTAACAAACGGCATTGCAGCCGTTGGCCCATAGGGGGCGGTGTGACCAATACATGTTAATGAATGTGCTTAAATGTTTCAAGGCAAGACGTGAAGAAATGATCAATCCAAAACAATACGGCCCAGTCCCAACACTTGCACGTCCAACCTGGCGCCCCTCATTTGTTCCCGATGATGGGTGCGAGTGCGTAGGGTCCAGTCCCAATTCTCCAGGGAGGTCTTTGGCCCCGCCCCCTTTGCGCCCCTGATCAACACTTTGCCGTAGCCTGCATCTATGCGCACTCTGGCGAAGGATATTACCCATAATTCTTTGCGGTACACACCAAAACGTCGGGAAAATGCATTTAAGTGTAAGTTTTGAAATATATTTGCAGTATGTGTGTAAATAAGTTTTGCTGTTACTTGGAAAGAAGCATAAACGTCTGATGAAGAATTACGGACATTCTATGCTAACAACTTTTTAAAGCAAGCGTTCATAAAACATTCAATTTAAACTTTACACTCAGTACAATAATCTTAGGATGTATAAAAACTGACCAGATAGTTAGTTACCCACATTTAACTTAAAATTATACAGATATACTTTTATTTTAGCGTGTGTGGAACAACTCGATAACTACTACTTTTGTTTCCCGCAGGGTCGGACAAAATGACCTTTAATTTGATAAAGTTTAGATCTGAAAATCTCTTGTCTAGTCTAGTTTGTTCATGGTCCCGCTGTGATCTCTGGCTCCATAATCGACATACTTTGAATTCACGAAGAAACCCGTTCTCTGGCTTCTGTCACAGCTCATCACAACAAAGCTCTGACATAACAGCAACAGCAGACGACGAGAAGCTTCTGCACATGTGCTTTTGCAAGTGTATTCCAATGTGGTTTTACTGCAAACGGCAAATATATGACTCTGATGTGAATCTGAAAGGCCTGCACTCGCTGATTAAAGACACAGAATGTAAAGCAGAGTGAGTATTCCATGGTGAGAACGAGGAGAGTATTGTGAGCTACAGAAAGTCACAAACTATGAAATGGCTTTGGCTCTCGGAGCAAAGGAAAGAATAAGTTATGCACAAAAAAGAAATACATCTACTGTACATAACATTTCTTAAAATTACTACTATATAAAAGTGAAGAAGACTTATAAAGACATAAGATAGCTAGAGCCAAATTCCTTATATGGGCATATGTGACGACGAGGTTAGCGTGGCGTCATGGAGGCAAACTAGCACGTTGCTAAGATGGTTGCTAAGGCAAGCTGGAGTTTCGTTCGCAAATGAAGGCATGTAATTGGTCAATCCTTATGGCTCGTACCTGGATTCACAAAGATTATAAGTTGATATTAAGACCAGGAGGACAGAGAGCGCTAAACCACGGAATACGGCAACGGTTACTGAGCTGGAGGAGTTTACGTTTCAATGAGAGTCAGAAGGAGCCAGAGAGAGTCGTAGCTCCTTCCTCTTGGGCCACATTTAGCTTTAGTTTGTCATTGTCCATCTGCAGACAGTGTATGGGTGTTGTGTGTTGTGTGTTGCTGTGTCCCAGGCCCCGCCCACTGCGCTCTGAGACGGTTCAACGCCGCAGCTGGAGAAATAGATCACTGGTTTCTGTCCGCCCAATCTCGCTTTGGCACCAACTGAAGATAATTTAAATTCTGATGCAGCCTTTGTGGCTTGTTGTGTGTTTTGATTCTAAGCCAAAGACATTCATCGCTGTGTTATGATTGAATGTCTTTATCAGTTTTTAACTTTTGGATATTTATTTTACCACCTTTGTGCATTCCTTCTCTCCTAACACCTCAAAAGGTCCTCTCTCCCTGGTCCTCTCTCCCTGGTCCTCTCTCCCTGGTCCTCTCTCCCTGGTCCTCTCTCCCTGGTCCTCTCTCCCTGGTCCTCTCTCCCTGGTCCTCTCTCCCTGGTCCTCTCTCCCTGGTCCTCTCCTGGTCCTCTCCTCCTCAAACCCTCCCCTGGTCCTCTCCTCCTCAGACCCTCCCCTGGTCCTCCCCTGGTCCTCTCCTCCTCAGACCCTCCCCTGGTCCTCCCCTGGTCCTCTCCTCAGACCTCACCTGGATCCCGTTGGCCTCCAGCACCAGTCTCTCTGCCTCAGCTTTGCTCCTTGGATATGGCATATGGTTTATGACTTGGTACGGCGTGTCCTCACTCCCCCTGAAAACAAACACACATTTGTTAAAAGCCTTTTTTTACGTGTGCGTGAGTGTGTGTGTAAATGTGTGCGTCATCAGGTTTTTTCTACATACCATCAGCTGCAGATGTGATTTTTGTATTTGGAAAACTCCCCCTGGTGGTAGCATAGGGAGTTACAGGCAGAAACCTATTTTTCTAAAACAACATCTAAATGCATTGTTTTGGCCAAAACAATGCCTTTAGGTCTTAACTGTCTCCTTTAAGCTAAGCCCGGTCCATCGGCCTGTGCAGAGACTTGATGTTATTTAAAAAGGGGGAAAACCGTGACAGATACAGCTACATCATAATCAGCAGCTGTTTGTGGAGGATCCCGTCTGAGTGAGAGGTTTTGGCTCCGGCTCTGAGAGGAATGTCCCAGGATTCCTCTGGACAATACTACGTGGCTTAGGAAAGAATGACAGCGGGAGATTCTGCAGGAGTTTGTTATCGAGTCTGTGTACGCGGCAAACACACGACTATTGTGAGTTTAAGACAACATTACAGCGCCCTAACGGAAAATCTTATCTATACAAATGTTCCAGCGTCCTACACAGAGCTGCATTGTTAAACTTGGAGAGCGTTGAGGAACTAGAGTTATAACACTGTGGGTGAAAAACATGGGGCAATGGACCAGGTTCTCCGTTAAAGGGGATGTCAGCGGCCTAAATACTTTACTTAATACATACTTCTGGTCATGGGACATATTATTAAAGTATTTTCCAACAATAATATATTTAAAACAGCCCCTCCCATTGGCATTACTACGACCAGTAAGATTTGCTGGAGGAGAACAGCTAGACCAATGACAAGGTGCCTTGAGGATTTGAATTGATATGGACCAATCAGGAGACTGCAAGGCTGAGAAAGGGCGGGGTTAACCAATCTCTCTTTGCAGTTCTTACACTTGTTATTGAAGCAGTTTTTGTTGATTTTTTTCATGGTTAAGATTTTTTCTTGTACTTTTTAGCTTGTTTTATTTTATATACTTGTCTGGTGCACACTGGGGGCTGTTGTGCAAGTATTCCAATGTGGTTTTACTGCATATGACCAATATTTGAATTTAGATCTGAATACATATGATTGTCTTTTCCATATCAAAACATCACATTACATAAAGAGAAAGTTCCGCGTGACTCAGTATCATCTCTAAAATGTTTTGACGTGAACAGACTGGACCGGGTTTGTGGAATGATAAATACAAATACAAAACGCCCGACTGTCAAACACATCTGGAACGCAGTCAGAGGCATATTTTCCAAACGCTTCGGAAAAACCCACGTGTCTAGAACCCACGGCTACAGACGCACGGGTTTGACCTTTTTATGTTTACAGATATCACGTGTGGACTAAAACACAGATTGTCAAAATGGCGTGCAGCAGAGAGTTGTTTCTTTGCCAATAAAGTCCTGCTCGCAAAATGAAACGGTAAAATATGAAGAAATATGAGGCAGAGAAAAGACATATGATCCTGAGAACGTTTACTTATTATATTAATATTAATAATGTTGAATGTATTTCAGGTTCAGTCGGTTTAACATTTACAGTTAATAGTAGGACTGGGAGGATTCTGAAACCAGTAGAATAAATGCATTATTAGTCTCACACTGAGAAACTACAGTTCTCATTCAAGTCAATGGGATTCGGAAAAAAAATACCTAAAAACAGTTTATAGTCATTTTTTTATACGGCTCGCTCTCTCCATCTGGGCTCTCCCTCTCTCTCTCTCTGGGCTCTCTCTCTCTCTCTCTCCAGTCTCTCTCTCTCTCTCTCTCTCTCTCCAGTCTCTCTCTCTCTCCAGTCTCTCTCTCTCTCCAGTCTCTCTCTCTCTCTCCAGTCTCTCTCTCTCTCTCTCCAGTCTCTCTCTCTCCAGTCTCTCTCTCTCCAGTCTCTCTCTCTCCAGTCTCTCTCTCTCTCTCCAGTCTCTCTCTCTCTCTCCAGTCTCTCTCTCTCTCTCCAGTCTCTCTCTCTCTCTCCAGTCTCTCTCTCTCTCCAGTCTCTCTCTCTCTCTCCAGTCTCTCTCTCTCTCTCCAGTCTCTCTCTCTCTCTCCAGTCTCTCTCTCTCTCTCCAGTCTCTCTCTCTCTCCAGTCTCTCTCTCTCTGGTCTGTCTTTGCCATAGTAACTCCTTAACACAGTTTTAAGCTAGCTTCCTGAACCGCTGATATAAAAAGTCAGCGTCCTCAGAGCGTCCTGTGTCATTTCAGTCATAGGTTCGTTACAACATGAAATCCCTGTGTTCTATTTATGAACCATTTATTTTATTTATTTCCAAATCAGCAGCAAATAAACAAGTGTTAGCAAAAAACCAGAAGTGCGGTAATGACTTACACCGACGAAAACAAGCACCCGCCAAACGCAATCAATGGCTAACTCTGGAACATCTAATTATTTCTGACCAGGAAAGTACCATTAAACGTTACCATCAATAAGTAACTAATGTGAATAACACAAGACCCTGAGCCACAGGAGGATATGCAGCAGCTCATAGGTTCAAGACTCATCTACAGATACAAGTCAAAAGGAAAACAAAGAAAACCATCATGTTTAGTGCCGTCAGGACCTTTAACCATGAAGAGAGAGAGACCGCAGAGAGAGAGACCGCAGAGAGAGAGACCACAGAGAGAGAGACCACAGAGAGAGAGACCACAGAGAGAGAGACCAGAGAGAGAGAGACCAGAGAGAGAGAGACCAGAGAGAGAGAGACCAGAGAGAGAGAGACCAGAGAGAGAGAGACCACAGAGAGAGAGACCACAGAGAGAGAGACCACAGAGAGAGAGACCAGAGAGAGAGAGACCAGAGAGAGAGCAGAGAGAGAGACCACAGAGAGAGAGAGACCACAGAGAGAGAGACCACAGAGAGAGAGACCACAGAGCGAGAGAGAGAGACCGCAGAGAGAGAGACCGCAGAGAGAGAGACCACAGAGAGAGAGACCACAGAGAGAGAGACCACAGAGAGAGAGACCAGAGAGAGAGAGACCAGAGAGAGAGAGACCAGAGAGAGAGAGACCACAGAGAGAGAGACCACAGAGAGAGAGACCAGAGAGAGAGAGACCAGAGAGAGAGAGACCAGAGAGAGAGACCAGAGAGAGAGAGACCAGAGAGAGAGAGACCACAGAGAGAGAGACCACAGAGAGAGAGACCACAGAGAGAGAGACCAGAGAGAGAGCAGAGAGAGAGACCACAGAGAGAGAGAGACCACAGAGAGAGAGACCACAGAGAGAGAGACCACAGAAGCGAGAGACCACAGAGCGAGAGAGAGAGACCACGGAGAGAGAGACCAGAGAGAGAGAGACCACAGAGAGAGACCAGAGAGAGACCACAGAGAGAGATACCACAGAGAAGAGAGAGATACCACAGAGAAGAGAGAGATACCACAGAGAAGAGAGAGATACCACAGAGAAGAGAGAGAGACCACAGAGAGAGAGACCGCAGAGAGAGAGACCACAGAGAGAGAGACCACAGAGAGAGAGACCACAGAGAGAGAGACCAGAGAGAGAGAGACCAGAGAGAGAGAGACCAGAGAGAGAGAGACCAGAGAGAGAGAGACCAGAGAGAGAGAGACCACAGAGAGAGAGACCACAGAGAGAGAGACCACAGAGAGAGAGACCAGAGAGAGAGCAGAGAGAGAGACCACAGAGAGAGAGAGACCACAGAGAGAGAGACCACAGAGAGAGAGACCACAGAGCGAGAGAGAGAGACCGCAGAGAGAGAGACCGCAGAGAGAGAGACCACAGAGAGAGAGACCACAGAGAGAGAGACCACAGAGAGAGAGACCAGAGAGAGAGAGACCAGAGAGAGAGAGACCAGAGAGAGAGAGACCACAGAGAGAGAGACCACAGAGAGAGAGACCAGAGAGAGAGAGACCAGAGAGAGAGAGACCAGAGAGAGAGACCAGAGAGAGAGAGACCAGAGAGAGAGAGACCACAGAGAGAGAGACCACAGAGAGAGAGACCACAGAGAGAGAGACCAGAGAGAGAGCAGAGAGAGAGACCACAGAGAGAGAGAGACCACAGAGAGAGAGACCACAGAGAGAGAGACCACAGAGCGAGAGACCACAGAGCGAGAGAGAGAGACCACGGAGAGAGAGACCAGAGAGAGAGAGACCACAGAGAGAGACCAGAGAGAGACCACAGAGAGAGATACCACAGAGAAGAGAGAGATACCACAGAGAAGAGAGAGATACCACAGAGAAGAGAGAGATACCACAGAGAAGAGAGAGAGACCACAGAGAGAGAGACCGCAGAGAGAGAGACCACAGAGAGAGAGACCACAGAGAGAGAGACCACAGAGAGAGAGACCAGAGAGAGAGAGACCAGAGAGAGAGAGACCAGAGAGAGAGAGACCAGAGAGAGAGAGACCAGAGAGAGAGAGACCACAGAGAGAGAGACCACAGAGAGAGAGACCACAGAGAGAGAGACCAGAGAGAGAGCAGAGAGAGAGACCACAGAGAGAGAGAGACCACAGAGAGAGAGACCACAGAGAGAGAGACCACAGAGCGAGAGAGAGAGACCGCAGAGAGAGAGACCGCAGAGAGAGAGACCACAGAGAGAGAGACCACAGAGAGAGAGACCACAGAGAGAGAGACCAGAGAGAGAGAGACCAGAGAGAGAGAGACCAGAGAGAGAGAGACCACAGAGAGAGAGACCACAGAGAGAGAGACCAGAGAGAGAGAGACCAGAGAGAGAGAGACCAGAGAGAGAGACCAGAGAGAGAGAGACCAGAGAGAGAGAGACCACAGAGAGAGAGACCACAGAGAGAGAGACCACAGAGAGAGAGACCAGAGAGAGAGCAGAGAGAGAGACCACAGAGAGAGAGAGACCACAGAGAGAGAGACCACAGAGAGAGAGACCACAGAGCGAGAGACCACAGAGCGAGAGAGAGAGACCACGGAGAGAGAGACCAGAGAGAGAGAGACCACAGAGAGAGACCAGAGAGAGACCACAGAGAGAGATACCACAGAGAAGAGAGAGATACCACAGAGAAGAGAGAGATACCACAGAGAAGAGAGAGATACCACAGAGAAGAGAGAGATACCACAGAGAGAGAGAGATACCACAGAGAGAGAGAGATACCACAGAGAGAGAGAGATACCACAGAGAGAGAGAGATACCACAGAGAGAGAGAGATACCACAGAGAGAGAGACCAGAGAGAGAGAGACCACAGAGAGAGACCAGAGAGAGACCAGAGAGAGACCAGAGAGAGACCAGAGAGAGAGAGAGAGACCAGAGAGAGACCGTCTCTTGACAGGAAGTCACAAGCACTCTACTCTACCCTGAGTGTTTCCTGGTCCTGTGTAACCAGTCCCAGGTCCTTCTTTAGTCCCTCTTGGTCCTGGTTCTTTCCAGGCCGAGCTGGCACTAAAGTGTTCTAACTGTTATTGGCCAGTGCTGCTGGATGCCGTGGTTACCAAGGAGTTTCCACGGATACCGGTTTGTTGTGGGCAGGTTGCTAGGATACGGCACCAGAAACCAAAGCGTAATGAAACAACCAGGTGGAGCAGAGTATGGCCGATGGAAATATTTATTCTTTCTGTGAGAAGACCGGGTTTTAGGCCTGGACAGTGTTTCAGTCATAACAGAACAAAAACAGTTCATTTCATTGTGGTAAAATATGAATAAAAAATGTGTTTATTTTTTTACTTTGTTGCGTTTCCAGAGACGTGCCTTTGTTATTCCCTCTCTGCGTCTGAATCTGTCGTCTCTCCTGAAGCTAAACTGTAGTGTTTTTAAGCTAAGTTTTTCCCTCCTCGCTCTGGCCAATCACAAAGCAAGTCTGTCAGATGTTTGCTCTGAAGCTTGCGTGTGATTGGTCAACGTTAAAACAGACGTCTGAGAAAGAATTGCAGGATTTACACAGATGGAAAAGTCCAAGTACATCACATTCAGTGTTATTGCTATGTTTTCTACACATCCACTGGACACCTCCACATGTGGGTCAGGCCCAGGGGGGACTGTGGGAGCAGGGGTTTACCGAACAAAGGGGTCTCTGTTGTGGTTGGGGCCGATCACCTCCATGCTGCTGGTGTAGAGGAGGCTGGGGACGCCGTTCTCCACACAGGCCTGGATCACGTTCTCCGTCCCTGAGGACACAAGAACGATGAGACCACAGAAATATACCAAACAACAACACAAAACTGGAACACCGAGAAGTTGGTTTTTTACCTTGGTCAATTCTGAGAAAACACCAGAGTAAGTTATTAAAGGATTTTGGCGTCGTAAATGATTAAACTGGACCAAATGTGCCAAAACCATTTCACAGCATTGCCCACAGTGGCTTTCTCCCGTTTACACTCAGAAACATTTATGTGTCAATACAAGTTTAAAAAATGGACTATATGTTATTTGCTGTTTAGTTTGAATTATACATATTTTCTATAATAATAATAAATCAGTTTTATATACAGCGCTTTTCAGGACTCTCAAAGACGCCTCACATTAATCATTCTCTCCAAACACAGCAGTGATAAACTACTGTAGCCACAGCTGCCCTGGGGCACACTGACAGAAGCCCCTCCCACCACCACCAACCATTCACACACACACCAGACTCATTCTAATGTGGGGGAAGTGTCTTGCCTAAGGACACAACCACAGTTTGGCACTTTACAGTACAGTACATGTAAAAATAGCAGGTCACATACGGTTTACTTCAGTACAGTCTGAAGAAGAGTACTGTACTTTATGGACTTTGAGCCTGAAAACTTAAGATAATAATAAATATAGTGTAGAAAAAAAAAGTCCGTCAAGCTACACATGAAGAAGTAAAGATTAGATATTTTAGCTCTGGTCTCTCCTCTTTGATGTGTCTGCATTATGATCTCAGCTGTAGTCTGTTCATTGCTATGCACATGGTGTTTCATGGTGATGATGGCACGTCGGTCCTGGGTCTACAGCCTCAGTCCTGGGTCTACAGCCTCAGTCCTGGGTCTACAGCCTCAGTCCTGGGTCTACAGCCTCAGTCCTGGGTCTACAGCCTCAGTCCTGGGTCTACAGCCTCAGTCCTGGGTCTACAGCCTCAGTCCTGGGTCTACAGCCTCAGTCCTGGGTCTACAGCCTCAGTCCTGGGTCTACAGTCTCAGTCCTGGGTCTACAGCCTCAGTCATGGGTCTACAGCCTCAGTCCGGGGTCTACAGCCTCAGTCCTGGGTCTACAGCCTCAGTCCTGGGTCTACAGCCTCAGTCCTGGGTCTACAGCCTCAGTCCTGGGTCTACAGCCTCAGTCCTGGGTCTACAGCCTCAGTCCTGGATCTACAGCCTCAGTCCTGGGTCTACAGCCTCAGTCCTGGGTCTACAGCCTCAGTCCTAGGTCTACAGCCTCAGTCCTGGGTCTACAGCCTCAGTCCTGGGTCTACAGCCTCAGTCCTGGGTCTACAGCCTCAGTCCTGGGTCTACAGTCTGTCTGTGGGAGCTGCTGTGGGTTTATCGAGTAGTTCCTCTGATGCAGGAGGTCTGACAGTGATGATCCGGGACATTTAAGGACATTTAAGGACATTTAAGGACATTTAAGGACATTAAAGGAGATATATTTAAGGAGTTTTCAGACAGCAGACGATCCAATCAGAGAGCAGAATGAGGCTATATTTTGTTTTTTCTTAGGTCATGTTTTTAGGGGAAGATTCTGCCCGTTAAACGTAGCGTACATGGGTAAAAAGTTATTTTATTTGACAGAAATGATGTCACATTGAACGCCGACAGAGATGAATGAGTAGAATAGACACAAAAAGGACATGGTTGGCCCAGAGAGAGTTTTCACATCTGTTTTGTACTTCTTTTATTACCGTTTGATGAGGATTAAAAACATGTTTGATGTGATTCCAGGATCTAAAACAAACCAAATCCCAGAGTAATAAGTCCTAACATACTGTAGACTGATTAACATCTGTAAATACCACTTCTCTGCAATAAAAGCCTTGACCACACTCGATGAATGATCCCCACATGAGAAAGTGAAAAATGAAAATAACATCTATGAACTAAACTCATGCACTGCAAAAAACAATGAAAAATAAGTAAAATATTGCTTGAATTTGGCAAAATCTGAGCACATTCAGACTGAGCCTTAAACCAAGATTTGCAAATGGGACGGAGATAAGAAATGTCTCCTTTGGAATGAGGAGATAAAGAAACAGATCGGCTTTGTCCAAAAACAACAAGATTAAAACCATAATAATCACAGAATTAAAAAAGAGTGAAGATAGAATCCTTCAGTCGCAGCAAAACTGAACTGTTTTAACCTGGATTTAAACAGAAAAGTGTGTGATGGTACTTCCTGGTTCTAGTCAGGACTAATGTGATGGTACTTCCTGGTCCTAGTCAGGACTAATGTGATGGTACTTCCTGGTCCTAGTCTGGACTAATGTGATGGTACTTCCTGGTTCTAGTCAGGACTAATGTGATGGTACTTCCTGGTCCTGGTCAGGACTAATGTGATGGTACTTCCTGGTTCTAGTCAGGACTAATGTGATGGTACTTCCTGGTTCTAGTCAGGACTAATGTGATGGTACTTCCTGGTTCTAGTCAGGACTGGTCTCCTGCTGGGACTCTGAGGAGCACAGGGACTGGCCTCCTGCTGGGACTCTGAGGAGCACAGGGACTGGTCTCCTGCTGGGACTCTGAGGAGCACAGGGACTGGTCTCCTGCTGGGACTCTGAGGAGCACAGGGACTGGCCTCCTGCTGGGACTCTGAGGAGCACAGGGACTGGCCTCCTGCTGGGACTCTGAGGAGCACAGGGACTGGACTCCTGCTGGGACTCTGAGGAGCACAGGGACTGGCCTCCTGCTGGGACTCTGAGGAGCACAGGGACTGGACTCCTGCTGAGACTCTGAGGAGCACAGGGACTGGCCTCCTGCTGGGACTCTGAGGAGCACAGGGACTGGCCTCCTGCTGGGACTCTGAGGAGCACAGGGACTGGACTCCTGCTGAGACTCTGAGGAGCACAGGGACTGGCCTCCTGCTGGGACTCTGAGGAGCACAGGGACTGGTCTCCTGCTGGGACTCTGAGGAGCACAGGGACTGGTCTCCTGCTGGGACTCTGAGGAGCACAGGGACTGGCCTCCTGCTGGGACTCTGAGGAGCACAGGGACTGGCCTCCTGCTGGGACTCTGAGGAGCACAGGGACTGGACTCCTGCTGGGACTCTGAGGAGCACAGGGACTGGACTCCTGCTGGGACTCTGAGGAGCACAGGGACTGGACTCCTGCTGGGACTCTGAGGAGCACAGGGACTGGACTCCTGCTGGGACTCTGAGGAGCACAGGGACTGGACTCCTGCTGGGACTCTGAGGAGCACAGGGACTGGACTCCTGCTGGGACTCTGAGGAGCACAGGGACTGGACTCCAGCTGGGACTCTGAGGAGCACAGGGACTGGACTCCTGCTGGGACTCTGAGGAGCACAGGGACTGGACTCCTGCTGGGACTCTGAGGAGCACAGGGACTGGCCTCCTGCTGGGACTCTGAGGAGCACAGGGACTGGCCTCCTGCTGGGACTCTGAGGAGCACAGGGACTGGACTCCTGCTGGGACTCTGAGGAGCACAGGGACTGGACTCCTGCTGGGACTCTGAGGAGATTAGGATTTGAATGCCTAGAGTGACTGTTTCTATGTTATTTTCTTGAGCATTTTGAGTTGCTTTGTGTATGAACTGTGCTATACAGATAAACATGCTGCAGTGAGACCCCGACTCCCGCGGCACATAACGTTATTTTATATTTAATACTTTGAAGTTTGGACGTCGGCAGAATCGTGGCCACATCAAAGGAGTCTCAGGATCTTGGTATTTCCTCCGGCTCTAATCCTAATCCCAACAAAGAGACGACACAGAAAAGCAATATTCCTCTTTTCCTCAAACTCAATATCAAAGTCTGAAGGAGTTTATGATTTTACAGGCTCCACTCAGACCAAAGATCAAGTTGGTGATCAGCGGATTTTTTTCCCCTTTGAACCAAAATGAGAAGGAAAGCAGCTATATGTAGAAATCTGTGAAAAGTAGATTTTGGAAAATGCTGTCTCACCGGAACGTTTTTAATGAAATAGATTCTACTGCTATGTTATGCTAACCCTAACCCTAACTACCTCAAGTTTATTTGTATAGCACAGATTATGCACACGGCAAAGTGCTGAACAAAACAAGAAAGAAATAACCAAAAACTACACTGGACCTGTTCCTTTCTCTATTTCCCCGCGTTTTCATGTTTATCTCCTCAGACAAAGCAGAAGGCGTTATGTGTTTCTCTGTTGTTGCAGGACTTCCGTTTTGTTTACGCTCAGATAACGTTGCGTCTGACTCTGACCATGGATCTATAATAATAATATTATAATAATAATATAATAATAATAACGCTGCGTCTGACTCTGACCATGGATCTATAATAATAATATTATAATAATAATATAATAATAATAACGCTGCGTCTGACTCTGACCATGGATCTATAATAATAATATTATAATAATATTATAATAATAACGGGGTCTGACTGTATCATAATGTTTTCTGGATTTATTCAATATTCAACCCAGTGTTTTAATGGTACAAGTTAAGTGCATTTTAAAATAGTTGTAGTACATAGTTATCACTATGTAACAGTAGTAGTGGTAACTACCACCATGTACCATACTACTGCCACTACTGCATAAATGGTACATAGTATTAATAATAATGCATTGGTTTTATACAGTGCTGTTCTGGACTCTCAAAGTCTCTTCACATAACTGCAGCTGTAGCTACTACTGTAGCCACAGCTGCCCTGGGGCACTCTGACAGGAGCCCCTCCCACCACTCACACACACAGACACACTCACACACACACACACAGACACACACACACACACAGACACACACACTCACACACACAGACAGGATCTGGCTCTCACCTGGTGGTAGAAGTCATAGTAGCACTTTCATGAATGTTTGTGTTTTTGATATAAAAGGGGTAAGAGTAGAATCTTTTTATAGACTCTTTCTATACTGACTAAATTCTTATGTGACCAGTTTTCTGTATTTGAGATTTGTGTTGAAATAAATTGGGTTAAAATTGCCAAAAACAAACAAACACACTGCTAAAAACATCAAGTGTTCTGAAGGGACGGTAAATGACTCAAAAACTAACTGTAAAGTTCTTTCTTGGTTTAATCTCACTTCATGAATTTACAGAAAGACAGATTTCACAGTTTAAAGAGTTTATAGAGTTTATAGAGTTTAAAGAGTTTATAGAGTTTATAGAGTTTATAGAGTTTAAAGAGTTTATAGAGTTTATAGAGTTTATAGAGTTTAAAGAGTTTATAGAGTTTATAGAGTTTATAGAGTTTAAAGAGTTTATAGAGTTTATAGAGTTTAAAGAGTTTAAAGAGTTTATAGAGTTTATAGAGTTTAAAGAGTTTATAGAGTTTATAGAGTTTATAGAG